TCACCCTCAGTAGAGTGCTGTGGCATCACAGCTCACAGCAACCTCCAGCTCTTGGGCTTAGGTGATTCTCTTGCCTCAGCCTCCTGAGTAACTGGGACAACAGGCGCCTGCCACAACGCCCAGCTGTTTTCTTGTTGCAGTTTGGCTGGGGCTGGGTTTAAACCCACCACCCTCAGTATATGGGGCCGGTGCGCTGCTCACAGAGCCACAGGTGCCGCCCAAGGGTTTTTCTTTTATTATTTCCTTTCTGTTTAGATAACTTCCTTTAACCACTTTTTCGGGTGGGTCTGCTGGTGACAGATTCTTTTAGTTTTCCTTCATCTGAGGATGTCTCGATTTCTTTCACCTTTATTCTTCAAGGGTGTTTCCTAAATACAGGATTCCAGATTGATGGTTCTTTCCTTTCAGCTTGAAAAATATGCCACTTCTTTCTGTCCTCCATGGTGTCTGGTAAGAAGCCCACTGTCCTTCAGATGTTTCTCCTTTAGGTAAAATTTCCCTCTAGCTGCTTTGAGCATTATTTCTTTGTCTTTAACTTTTGCAAGTTTGACTGTGATGTATTCATGTGTAGATTTCTTTGGTCTGTCCTGTTTGGGGTTTACTCAACTACTTGAATGTGTAGACTTAGGATTTTTGCTAAATTGAAGAAATTTTCATGATTTCTTTGAGTTTAACATTAGAAAATCACTCTGGGAGCCTGAGGAGGAAGATTTCTCGAGGCCAGGAGTTAAGACTAGTCTGGGCAACATAGAAAGACCCTGTTTCTGGGGGGAAAAAAAGTGTCAAAAATCCAGGCATGGTGGTGCATGCCTGCTAGTCCCAGGTACTTGAGAGGCTAAGGTGGGAAGACCGCTTAAGCACAGGAGTTTGAGGCTACAGTGTGCTGCCGAGCTGTGATGATGCCACTGTGCTCCATCTTGGGCAACCAAGACCCTGCCTCTTAAAACGAAAAAGCATCTACAGTTACATGTTTCTCTCTAAGTACCACTTTAGCTACATTCCACCAACGTTGATGTGTTTTTTGGGGGGTTTTGTTTGGCTGATTTGGATTTTCATCAGTGAATGTTGAAGGCAAAATGCGCATGACATAAAGAGATGAACACCTCAGTCCTTTAAAATTTGAGATTTGCCTTATATCCATGTCCTTCCTAGTATATCCTTTCCGTCATTTATTTCACTTTCTTCATAACTCTTGGATGATTTTAGAAAATTTACATTTGATGTTAGATTTGGTGTTGCTTTCAAGAAGAAGGTTAGTTCAGACTAGCCCTGTTGAGTAGACACACACATGAGCCCCACGTGTGACTTCAGAGTTTCTAATAGCCACCTTTAAAAAGTAAAAAATAGGCCGGGCGTGGTGGCTCACACCTATGATCCCAGCCAGCACTTGGGAGGCTGAGGCAGGCGGATTGCCTGAGCTCCCAGGTTTGAGACCAGCCTGAGCAAGAGCAAAACCCCTACAAATAGCCGGGCATTGTGGTGGGCGCCTGTAGTCCCAGCTACTGAGGAGGCTGAGATAAGAGAATTGCCTGAGCCCAAGAATTTGAGGTTGCTGTGAGCTATGATGGCACGGCACTCTACCAGGGATGACAAAGTGAGACTGTGTCTCAAAAAAAGAAAGAAAAGTAAAAAATAAATTAAAAAACAAAACAAGTGAAACAATTTCAACATGTAATCAAGGAAAAATTAGAAATTCAATTTTTTGTGCTCCCTTTCTCCTACTAAGTGGTGATGTACACCTGCAGAGTCCCCCACTTGATGTCAGCTGCATTTCAGGCTCTTAGTGAGTGCTGTGTGATCAGCCCAGGTCCAGGCTGTCCTCTGACCATCTCTCATCCAAGGGCACTGTATCCACTCTTTTTTTTTTTTTTCGAGACAGAATTTCATATGCCCTCGGTAGAGTGTCGTAGTGTCACAGCTCACAGCAACCTCAATCTCTTGGGCTTAAGCTATTCTCTTACCTCAGCCTCCCGAGTAGCTGGGACTACAGGCGCCCGGCTATTTTTTCGTTGTTGTAGTTGTCATTATTGTTTAGCAGGCCCGGGCTGGGTTTGAACCCATCAACCCCCGTATATGTGGCCAGCACCCTAACTGAGGCGAGCAGGCTGAGCCTGTATCCACTCTTGTCTTGGGCTGTTAGTGGATCTGAGCCACATGGCAGTACCTGCAGTCCTGCCCTTGTGTGACCTGAGCCCTCAGGCGCCCACTTGCTCTTAGGGCCCCGTGCATACACCTGCTGGCAGTGGTTCTCTTCTTGTCTGGCAGGGGTCTGGCCATGTGTCTCTTGCTTCCTCTACCTACCCAAACTACCCTTGGTCTCCAGGAGACCTCACCCTATGGGTCCCTGAAGCACCTACAGCTTGGCTTTGCTGTCAGCCCACTGTGTCTGTCCCAGCTGCAGGCGCCTGAAGGACGGGCCCCAGGGGTTCAAGTACCTGTGCCACAGACCAGGCCCATTGCAGAAAGAACTCTGCTCCACATGGAAGGAAGGAGGAAAGGAAGGAGCACTGCCCTTTAGCAGTGCTGGCTTGGGAACCAGAGTAGGGAGTGGTGTTTAGGGCTCTGAGGGACAGCTGCTCCCACAGTGCAGCTGGCCCCACAAGCTGACGAGGATCAACTTGTACTCCAGAGAGGTCCTCCGACCAGGCCCAGTCCTGATGCTGGGAGCAGGCATGGGACCCCAGACTGAAAATGGATTCCTGGCAGGCAGGTTATGGGGCCTGGGAGGAAGTGGTTTTAAGGCTATTGGACGTGTATTTCCATGGGGTTGTGCTAGTCCATGCCCCACATGCAGGTAGCATAGGAGCTGTTCTGGCACCGCAGCTAGTTTTGAATTTGACCCTTGGTGGGTTTGGCAGTGAATTTGTCTAGGCTGGCCCTGGGGCCGCCTGGTCCTGTGATTAGTGCCCCATGCAGCTGACGTGCCTCCCCTCTCCAAGTCGCCCCCTTGAGCCAGCTGCAAGGGGTAGCAGGGGAGGGTGGGAGGGGAGCCCAGGAGGGGTAGGGAGGACTGAGAAGGGTAGCACCCAACCCTGTTCCCTGGGCCTCTCTGAGTCCAGCCTGGGCTATTGGGTCCTTGGGTAGAGGCTTTGTGTTTCCCTGTGGGCCAAGTGGGCAGAGCTGAGCGTGCATCGTTGCCCAGAGCACCTGCCGGCTGGCGCTGCCCCCTACCCTTGGGTATAATTAGCGCCATGACAGGTGCTGTGGATCCGGTGGCCAGCCCAGCCCTGGCCCAATGTGGCCTGGCCTTGGCCGACCTGCCCCATCCCCCAGCCCAGCTCAAAGCCTGCAAGCCACCCCCTAGGCCTCAAGCTATGCCAGCCTCCCCCAGGACTCCCTCCACATCTACCAGAACAGGCAGCCAGGGCCTGGCAGAAGCAGTGGACAGGCAGAGCCCTAAACAGTGACCTAGCCACAGGCTCTGGGAATGCCTGGGCTGATCCAGTCCCTTCCCTCAGTCTATGCCCAGGACCGTGGATCACTGAAGGCACCTCATGGGGGAGTAAGGGGTGGGAGCCCTGGTAAAACTGCTCTGGCCTGAGCCTTCCAACAGGAGTTTCCACCCAGCTACCCCACCATCCCACCACACTCTTCTCTCCCCAGTGCAAGAAAAAGCACACATTGCTGTGCCCCGACTTCGCCCGCAGGGGCACGTGTCCCCGCGGGGCCCAGTGTCAGCTGCTCCACCGCAACCAGAAACGCAACAGCCGGCGCGCAGCTGTACCCTCCACCCTGGAGCCCAGTGACACCCCCACCAGGAGCAGGGCCTCGGGCAGCCATGGGCCCAGGTGATGGGGCAGTGGGTATTATGTGTGTGAGCCTGGGGGTGGACCCTCCTAGCCTTGGGGGACATTCAGGATCCTCTAGGGAGGATCCCTTACCCCAGCTCTTTGGCCTGGATCTAAGGCTGAGGATCAGGTGATCTCTAGGGAGGGTCCCCAAAGTTAGATAGGGCCAGAGGCATTCCCAGAGGAAGACAGGGGCTTCTCAGAGACGGAAATCCCCTCTCTAGGATAGGGGAAGCAGCCCGGCCCCTTGGAGAGGCTTGGCTTCCCATGACGGCCCACCTGCTGCATGGGCTGTGGAGCCCCATGCAGAAGAAGCTGAGGCCCTAGGAGGTACAGGTGGGGCTCAGGGCCCTTGAGACCATAGCTCCTCAGATAGAAGGCCTATAACCAGCCCATCCCTGGGCCAAGGGCTGGGCTTGGACCTGGAGCCTCAGGTTTCACCCCAGATGGCAATACCCATTGGCCCTGGGGGGGAATGTGGCAGGGAGGGGCCTACTCACTGGTCGACCCACTTCCTCCACTCTGCCCCTCCTTCCCTGCAGGAAGCCCTCAGGAACACGGCCCACCAGACAAGCGCCCAGCTCCCCCCACCCTTCCTCCCCAGGGGTGTCAGCATCAGTCTCAACCTCTCCTGTATCATCAAAGGCATCCCCTTCCTTCCCCTGTCCCTCATCCCCCTCCCCCTCCTCGCCCCCCTCCTCCTCGGACCAGGAGGAGCCATCTCTCCAGGAAGAGGCCGCCTCTGCTGTGACAACGGTGACAGGCTCTAGTAGCCTCAGCAAGCTGCCTGCCTTCATCTCCCTGCAGTCCTCACCAAGCCCAGGAGGCCAGCCCAGGGTCCGGACCCCAAGGAGACCCCCAACTAAGGACTCAGGTAGGCAGCCCAGCCCAGCTTGGGCACAGGGGCTTTTCAAATGCACACCTCGGGTCCAGGGGCCCATGGGGCAGGGCCAGCTGAGGTCCAAGCCTGGCAGTGGCTGCCCAAGCAGCCCCCACAGACGAGGGCTGATTTAATTAGAAAGCACCCATTTCTGTTAATTTGTTCTGGAAGATCACTGCACACTCCTGGAGAGAACAGATGTTCCCTCTCCCCTGATGAACATTTAGGGCTTGGTAAATGGCTCCACTCAGCCTTGTTTAGGAGAGAAAAGAGGATTTTATGGCTGCAAACGAACCTTTCTGTAAACATTTTACAGCTCTCCGCGCGTTTGAGTGACGATAAACCCCACGCAGCTCGGCAGGCTGCGCATTCGCGACCATACGGCTATCATTTTATTGTCATATTTCACGGTCGTAACGTTAATGGGAGATGCTGCTGCAGCCTCCTCTAACAGCCCCGCTGAGTATGCTCAGATGCCCGCTGTGGAGGGGCCGCCGCCTGCCTACTCACAGCCTCCGCTTCTGGGTGTAAAGCTGTGGCCAGACCCCTACTTCTGGGGTGGGGCACCAGCTCCCTCCGTCAGGACCTCACTGGGGTGGACAAAGCAGGTGGGGTCTGAGGCAGCCACCTCCTACCTCTTTTCTTTCAAAGATCAGGAACATGGGAGCCAATTCTAGGGCCCCAGGGATGGGCAGGGTGCTGAGGGGCCTGTGTGCAGGGGCTTGGGGGAGGTAATGCCCAGGAAGGGCTCCAGAGGCCCAGCCAAGACGGGAGCTAGAGGGTCAGGTTGAGGTGGGCCACTCAGCCTCTGGACCAGAAACTTGACTGTACCTGCTGAAATGGCCACAGCAGGAGGGGGCTGGTGGGACAGAGGCCAGTGTAGTCCATAGGCCTGGGCCTCCCGCTGGCATGAGTGAGTGATGTCAGCAGCCCTAAAGAGGGGATACTTTAGGAGATGTGGGCTTGGAGGGGACACATGGATGGTGCCAGGCTATGGGCAGCCATGCAAAGGTATTGTGTAGTCAGTGGGGGGCCTGTGAGGGGGGGTGTGAATTCATGAGCACAGTATGAGTTTCTGGTACCAGTGAGTGTGTGCTCACCAGACAGGAGCCCCAGGACATGACCCTCTGCCTCTCACCCCTGCTTCCACACCCTGCCAGCCTCTCCCTACGTGGGGGTCTCTGCTCTGCTCCCACCCCCACAGCCCAGCTGCTCACACACATCCCAGCTCTCCACTTTGAAGGGGCAGCATGGTACTGCTCATCCTCTTTGTGTGTGTGTGTGTGTCAGCCTGGCTCCCAGGTGTGAGTGTGCAGCACATGCCTGCGCACACCTGTGTCCATGGCTCAGCTGCCCACTGTTGTGGTTCCCACCAGGGACCCTGCCCCCAGCCCACCCAGCTGCTGCCCACGCCTTGGAAGGTCCTGGACTCAGCCCCCTGCCCCTCTATCCCATGATCCATGCCTACAATGGCTAGGTGGGCACAGAGGCCAGAGGCCAGAGGCCAGCAGCCTGTTAGAAGCTGCCCTCCCCAGCTGGGCATGATGGGTCACTCCTGTAATCCTAAAACTCTGGGAGGTTGAGGTGGGTAGATCACTTGAGCTCACAAATTTGAGACCAGCCTGAGCAAGACTGAGACCCTATGTCTACTAAAATGAAAAACTGAGGCAAGAGGGTCTCTTGAGCCCAAGAGTCTGAGGTTGCTATGAGCTATGACATAATGGCACTCTACCAAGGGCAACAGAGTGAGATTCTGTCTCAAAAGAAGCTGCTCTCCCTGACATCTTTGAAGCCCTGCTGTGCAAGCCTGTGCTCAGGATGGGGCTGACAATCTCCCCATCCTGAGCCGCAGACCAGAGCTTTATGGTGGGGAGGCTCTGCTGGGCTGGGGTCACCCAGCACCTGACTTTTGTCCTCTCTGCACAGGGAAGCCTCTGCACATCAAACCACGTCTGTGAGGGCCTGGGGACCAGCCCACACCTACCTCAGATTCTCGTCCCTGGAGAGGAAGGAGGGACCACCGCCACCTAGCCCAACTGGGGCCACAGGGGCACTGCTGTGCCCACCTGGCTCTCAGCCCTTTGATCAGTATGTGCCCAGGCCCTTGCCTACCCCCTTGGGCTGGACTGCTGTCCAGTCACCCCCTTCACCCCATCCTCCTCACCCCTGGACCCTTGCGCTCACCCCCTGGGCTTGCCCCCACTGTGGGTATGGCAGCTGGCAGGTGGCACATCCCCCCTCAGCCCTGTCCACCCAAGACTTCTGCCCTGGGAAAGAGGCTCTAGCCAGGCTTCCCCAGCAGGCTTTTTGTGTTCAGCAATAAAGGTTCTGCCCTGTGTCTGACTGGCCTGTCCTGACTACCACAGTGGACCCTGGACCTAAATGGGAGAGAGACAGCAGGCAGGAGGCACAGCACTCTGGGCACAAGCATTGGGCCCCACTTTCCCACCTCCCTGAGATGGTTTAGAGGGTCCGAGTTGCTTCTCCCTGTGGCTGAGCCAGTATGACCTGTGTGGGAGAAGGCTGAGAGGGTGCACTCTGGGGACAAGGATGCCACAGGCTGGGGCTGTGGTAAGGAAGTGGCCCAGCTTGAAGGAAGGGACAGCTTGTCCAGGCTCTTGGCTCCCCTCATGGGGTGCCCACTTCTGGAGGGCCTGGCTAAGGATTGTGTCAGTTGGCAAGGTCTGGAGAGGTATGTAGCCCTCTTCATCCCCTTCACCTCTGGAGAAATGAGGGGTGGCCCCTGGGCGAGGTGGGCTGGCTCCCCTCCTAGGGCCTCCCAGCACCTCTATCTTTGTGTCAGTCTTTCCTTGTGTGCTGCCAAGTAACAAACCGGCCCCAGCAGCCAAGGCCTGGCTCCCGCTGGCAGCATGTGCCTCAGCCTGAGTCGCTCCTCCGCGTGAGTCCATGTCCTGCTGCCTGTTCTGGGCCAGTGCTGGCCGGAGCACCACTCAGTGCTTGTTACTCGTTCAGTTTGGGTTTTACCCGCTCCATGTCCTCAAGGGTCCCCTTGGCCAAAGCAAGTCCCGGGACCTGAGCCACACCCAGGCAGGAAGGACACCCGCCCTGGCAAAAGGCCCTGGCCAGCTTGGGTGTGGGATCCCATCCTCCACCCCGGAGGGGCTCCTGGTCCACAGGAGGGGTGCCTGGGGCAGATGCTGTGGCCATGCGTATATTTGTGGTCATTTCTGCCATGATCCTCCTATTCATTGCCTTGAAGCCCTGAGCACAGCCTGTGACCCCACTAGCCAGCTTCAGGCAGGTGACGGACTCTGGAAGTTGTACCTGACTGGAAGAAAAGCCCCCCCCACCCTTAGTCAATACCTGGAGTGACCCCACTGCCAGGCTGTGGGTGGGAAGCAGATTGCTTCTGCTGGGCCGGTTCCCTCACTGGCTGGGCACATCTGGGACCAGATGTTTTTAAGGCCTTGTGTTCTGGTTCAGTCATCCCCTAGTGGACCTGGATACCTTGTGACACCTCTCTGTACCAACCATGGTGTGGGCCCTGGAAGAGCTGGCAGCTTGCCCTGGCCACCCTGCCGCCCTACTACCTTCTTCTCCCTCCTTCCAGGAGCCAACGGGCCTTGAATCCTGTGCTCACCAAGGGGACTGCAGCCTGCAGCCCCAGACATCCCAGAACTGAGGCCAGCTGCAGCCTCAGATGTCCCAGAACTGAGGCCAGCTGCTTAGGACTGCCCCTGGCGTCACTCCCTCTGGCCACTGGTCCTTTGCAGGCACTCCGCCTCTCATCTCCTCCCCCAGCCTCCTGAGATGTCCCTGCCAGGACCTCCACAAAGGGCTCCCTCCTTTTGGTCCAGCTCATCTCTAGTTGTTCACCTCCCAGCCTCCCTTCGGGGCATCCACAATAAATAAGGGGACATCTGCCTGCACATCAGGCCAGGCTCTCTGGGAACCTAGGCTTTAAGAGTGGGCAGTGGTAGACTCGAGGTGGGCAGATTCTCATGCCTCTCATCCATACCACTGGCAGCATGCATGGCAAACAGGGTTCCCAAGCAAGCTTGGTACCAGCTGGCCCCATCCAGGGGTAAACTACCCTTAGCCACTCCACTGCACATAGCATCTGAAGTGTCCATGGTAGGTGGGGGGGCAGTGAACAGAGGTCTGCTTTTCTGGCCCCACCCTTTCCAGGGAGACAGCTCTGCCCCCAGCTACACAGCCCACCAGGCCCCAGACATTGCTCAGAGGCATGGAACATGTGATGGGAGCCTGGGCCCAGGCCCCTCTGTCCCCCCAATGCAGCACCTGGCAAGAAGCCTCAGGAAGCCTGGGCACTACCCTCCAGGAGGCCACCATGATGTCTTGTTGCCCACTGGGGACCTCGAGCAGCCCTGGGCTCTGCCTGGCACAGTGCCTGCAGACATCTGAGCCGAGCATGTGCACAGGTCCAGGCATCCTCAAACTACAGCCCGCGGGCCACATGCAGCCTGCCTAGGACATTTATCCAGCCCACTGGGTGTTTTTGCCGCTGCTGCCTGTCCTATTTAGCAGCCTACTCGTCCTGGGGCCTGCAAGTCCGGCCCACCAATGGTCTGAGGGACAGTGAACTGGCCCCCTGTTTAAAAAATTTGAGGACCCTGCTCTAGGCTTTTCAAGCCGGGCACAAGCAGCAGACAAGGGACTGCTGTGCCAGGGAAACTGACTCAGGGTCCAGAAAGCCACTGCCCTACAGCAATCCCTGACTTCTGTGGTGACCATGAGCCCACAGAAGGCAATCTGGAGCCAGCATAGACCCTCAGGCAGAGATGAGCTGGCCCCAGGCATCAGCCCAGACCTGGGGGTGACAAGTTCCAGGGAGGACTGGGGCCGCTCCTTTAGGCCTTTCCAGAGAGCATGGCTGCCCCCCAGCCCTCCTTCTTAGGGCAGGACATGGGCATGGACAGTCAGTCTATCCATGTCTCTGTCCCTGAGCCCAGGCTTCCTGCTAAGCTAAGGCAGGAGACACCAGGGACCACACAGAGCTTTGGTGGGGATGGAGCCCCTTCCACCCTCCCATGGGCTGCCCTCATGTGGCAGATAGTGTGGCTCCCAAGGCCAGGCAGAGGTTTGTGCCTCACAGAAGAATGGGTAGCATGGTGACAGGACCTTGCCAGGCCTCCCAAGGAGGGAGATCTGAGCTGAGACCACACATGCACACGGACAGCAGAGGGTGTGGAGAGTGGACCAGCTGGCCAGAGGCTGGTGGCAGGGGTGTGTGATGCCCTTCACAACCCCTTTAACCTCAGAGCATTGGCAGAGCATGGTGGGTCCCAAGCTCCAAGCTGACAGGAGCTGTGATGGCCACAGAAGGGGACCCCAGGGCAAAGCCAGGGAGCCACTGAGGAGGATGGATGGGCCTGGGAGGGCACACCCTCCTAGGTGCCTGAAATGGGTGTTGGCTGGGGAGGGGTGAGGGTGAGCCGTGGGATGCATGGACCCCTGAGCTGGGAAGCAACAGAAAGGAGAGTCCTTCCTGGTGTGAGCCCTGCTTCCATCCTGCCTCTTCAACTAATGACTAATGCGTCACTTTGTGCCCAGAATGGGAGCGCCAGGAGGGCAGGGCCTGGACGAGTTCAGAGCTGAGTGTCTACCCTCAGTAATGCCTACATACAGCAGGTGCTCCCTAAGTGCTGGAGGGGAGAATGAGGACCAGGAAGGGGCAGAGCAGCACCACTGTGGAGTGAAGTTCCGGGCTTTGGTTTGGGTTTTGCTTTTTAAATGCAAATAAGCCCCTGCTAAGGGCAGCCCAACTCTAGGGTAGGAGGTGGGAGAAAAGGTGGCTTTGCATGACTCCCCCTGGGCCCAGAGGCTGCTGCCCAGAATACATAGAGCTTCTGCCCATAGGATAGGGAAGTTTTCCGTTCCTGTGATACCTTCTGTCCAGCAAACACTGGCCCACAGCTCAAGCTCAGTGGCCACTTTCCTGCCAAAATAAATCTGACAAAAGTGGCACATCCAAAAAAAAAAGTGACATTGAGTGGCGCCTGTGACTCAAGGAGTAGGGCACCAGTCCCATATTCTGGAGGTGGTGGGTTCAAACCTGGCCCCGGCCAAAAAAAAAAAACAAAACAAGTGATGTATCCAGACTTGACACGTGGCTCCTGCCCAGCACAGAGCACCTCTGACAGCACTACTGCTGAGACAGACAGCCCCACCCAGGGGCTGCATTCTGGACAGAGCCACAGGCCATGCAGGGACCATCCCCTGGGCACCTTTTAGCCTAGAGGGAACTCCTCAGGAAAAGCACGCTGAGCAGTGTTGAGTGGGCAGGAGGGACACCACAACTTCCCCCTCATATCAGGCAGCCTCCCTGGACTCAGCTGCCCTGCAGGGCACCAGGCCTCTTGCAAGATTTCCCACCAGCCAGCCTCTCACCTGCCACAGACTTAAGTGGGGATGGGCCCCAAGGTGGCCTCCTGGCCCCATGTCCTGGTGTTTATGCTATGGTGACACTTCTTGCCATTTATTCCCCACTGACAGCCCAACAGTCCAAAAGGTAACAGGTAAATAAGTACTTATTTATAAGTACTCAACCTATACTAGTACTCCCTATGACAGGAGACTCACCAGAGCCTCTCTTTGCTGGCCTGAGGGGCCAGAGCCTGTGTAAGGGGCCCCACATGGCAAGGGGCCCAGGGTGGGGCCAGCAAGAGGCCAGTCCCTCAGTTCTACAGATTCAGGGAAATAATTCTGCTGATAACCTGATGGCACTTAGAAGCAGCTCTTCCTACCAAAGGGTCACTTCCAAAAGCTGCAGCCACCTGGGAGGCCCTGAGCAAAGGCCCCAGCTAGGCCCTACCCAGGCTCTTGACCCACAGAAACTGTGAGACAACCAATGTGTGTTGTTTTAATATACTAAGCACCTGGTAATTCGACACAGCAGTAGGAAATGAATATGCTATCATTTCTTTATTATTGTTATGGCTTAACTTCCGTCTACCCTGGTAGGCTGTATTTTCCACAAATGCAGCAGTGTGTCCCAGCCCATGTGCTCTTCCTTGGCTTGACCTACACCAGGTGCTGTCTCTGCCCCCGCTCAGGGGGTGAAGCCCAGTGAGGGTAACTTCTGATGCGTATCCGCCTCACTTTCTTGGGTGCTCACATTGGGAACCAACAGTCATGCTGTGAGGAAGCCCAATCAGCCGCAGAGGCAACCATGTAGAGACATCACAGGTAGCTGTTCCTGCCAACAGCTGCCACCATCTGCCAGGCCTGGGTGTGAAGATACCTGGTGGTGCCATCAGTTAGCTGTCCAGTCACCCCAGCCTCTGAATCCTCCCAATGTTGAGATCAAAGACACCTGTGCCCACATTCCCAGTACAAATCCCCTCCCCCCAAACCATGGTGGAGATGATGTGCTATATTGTGCCACCAGCCTTCAGCGAGCTTCTCAACAAGGAGTCCCTGGTGCCTCTTTGATAGAATGTGCCCTCCTCGGCAGGCAGCCTGGCTTAGAGTAGGTGCTCAGCAAGGATTTGTGGGGTGTCCTTAGTAACCACATGGGCAGCACCTGTGGAATTCTGTGAGGACAGGCTGTTGACAGCTTGGGGAGTGTGAGAAGGGGGGGGATGCTCAGACAGCATGGAACTGGCTGTTCCAGGAACCAGGGGAACGGTCTTGCACTGGTAAATTCTGGGGGGCTGTCCTGGCTTGGTGGTGCCTGAGTACCAGGAGAGTTTGGGGTGGGCCAGTCAGGCCTTACCACCTTTTTGTACTTCTCAGGACAAGGCCGGATGCTTGGGCTTCCTGTGGGTTCTGGGCTCTGTGCCACCCAGCCCAAGATGACCATAGGACCAGTGTCCTGAGGCTGAAGTCAGGAGCTGTGGCTGCTGGGAAGAGCTGTGACAACTACGATGGTCAAGCTTCTCTTTCATTCCCATGAGACTCCCCAGCATTCTCCCAGCCTTGCCACTGAATCTTCTCCCCAGGCCACTTGGCCTGGCATTGAAGCCACAGTTCGAGGGCAGGCAGGTAGTAGGGCAGTCCCTTGCAAGCGCTCTCTCCTTTTTCTTCAATGACTCTCCAGTGCACCTAGGAACCATGAGAGTAAGGTGCCCAGAAATGCTGCTGAGCTTTGGAGGGGCAGTGTCAGGGCCCTGGGCCTTCTGGGGCTCAGGAAGGGTCCCCTGGCCCCTGTCTCTGGCCTGAGCTACAGGATGCAGGCAGACAGGTGTGCAGCAGCATCCTCTGATCCATGGGCCTCCCTCTGAACACCAGGTGCTATGTGGGGAAACTCCACACCCCTGACTGTCTGGCAACCCATGTGATCTGAGCCCCAGATGTGGCCTTGGCCCTGCCACATGCTGAGTTCATCATTTTTTAAGCCTCCATTTCCTCACCTGCAGAATGGACATGGTGATACTGAGAGGGTGGTTGTAAGGCCACTGGCCTAGAAAACTGGCTCCAGCACTGAGTCCTGAGCTGTGTCCAGCCAAAGTGAGGACTGGGGAGAGAAGCCCCACCTACACGGAGGGAGGCCTGCCCTCCCCAAACCCCCATGGAGGGAGGCTTGCCCTCCCCAAACCCCCAGGCCAGCCCACCTCCAGCACTGGGAGAGCATAGAGGAAGAGGCGAGGGGTTCTCATGATATCTGAGGAAGTAGGGTGTTCACTCCTAATTATATAAAATAATATACATTTTTTTAGAAGGAGTGATGCAGGAATAAATCCCCCAGCACCATGACTAGGCTATGCCTGGTGAATTCCTGTTTTTTTCCCTCTGCACAGGTAGTTACATTCAAGACTTTTTTTCAGAGAGGGGATTTGGTTCTGTCTGCCAGGCTGGAGTGCAGTGGCATGATCACATCTCATGCAGCCTCAAACTCCTAGGCTCAAGGGCTGCTCCTGATTTGGTTTCCCAAAGTGCTGGGACTACAGGTGCTACTACACACCATCCCTTAAGACTTTTTTTTTTTTTTTTTTGGAGACAGAGTCTCATTTTGTCGCCCTAGGTAGAGTCCTGCAGTGTCACAGCTCACAGCACCTCAGCAACCTCAAACTCTTGGGCTTAAGCGATTCTTTTGCCTCAACCTCCTGAGTAGCTGGGACTACAGGCACCCCCCACAACGCCCAGCTTATTTTTGTTGCAGTTGTCATTGCTATTTTAGCTGACTGGGCCTGGTTCGAACCTGCCACCCTCGGTATATGAAGCTGACGCCCTACCCACTGAGCCACAGGCGCCGCCCTCGACATTTAAAAAAAATCGTCAAAGTCATATAGTACCAGTATAAAGAATTTAGAGAAAAAGGACCAGCTTTGGGTCGTCTCACAGCGCTGATTATTGTGTTCCCCTTCCATCACCCTCCTCGATAGGGACAGTCCCCCTGCCCCACCATCACCTTCCTTCCTTTTTCCCAATGCACCCAGTGCTGGCACGTAGCCCTCCGGAGTTCTGTGTACCGAAGGCTCCTCCTAGCAGGGCTAAAACCTTGCGGGTAGAAATCCTGAGCTTCCCACTTCTGTCACCATAATCCCACTCCCGGTCCAGCAAGAAGCCCTCAGTCCCGCCCCACAGCCAGAACTGATCTGTGGGTACCTGGGGCCCGAGATTCCTAGTGCTCTGGGGGGCCTGGCAGCCCGTTGGCCCGCACCCACATCCCCCCACCCTTGTCCTCCCGCGCCCCGCGTCCTCTCTCCGCGCATTCTTAGGGCCTGGCCGGTCTAGTGGTGGATCCCGCCGCTCCGAGGTGCCAGCAACTTTGTTGACCAAATTCCTGAACCCGCCTGAACCGCGGGGCTAAAAATAAACAGCGCTCTGCATTCAGCGCTAGCTCGGCCGGGCTGCGCGGTGTCATCCCGTGTCAGGATGCCTGGAATGTCCTTTGGGCGCGGCCCCCTCTGCTCCCTGGACTCTGCGGCCGCCCCGTCGCGGACTTCAGGCCCCCGGAGCCGCAGCCCGGCGCGGTGCCCCCGCACGCCCTCTACCCGTGCAGTCCCAGGCGCCGGCCACCAGAGGGCCCTGCCCCCTCCTCTCGCCAGCGGCCCAGCCCCACCCCTTCCCACAGCTGTTTCCCGCAGGAGATTGACAGCTGGGCTCTCGGTTGCCATGGGGATAAGCAAATGAGGACGGAGGGGCTGGGGCTCCGATTGGCCCGGGGGCGTGAGCCCCTCCCGGGGAGGCGGGGCAGGTCAGCGGGAGCTCCCTGTTCTATAAAGGGGAGCTCGCGCCCGGCACTCAGCCGTGGGAGGCGGGGCCGACCGGCGTCCCGGGCGGGGTGCGGAACCGGGGGAGGGGCAGCCCGAGGCGGCGACCGTACCACCACCCTCGCCATCGCCTGCCAGCTGGGAGGAGTAGGCGCGGGCCTCGGGCCACCCGACAGACAGTCCCGGCAACGTCCCCCAGCGCGCAATGCCGGAGTTGGCTTCGTGAAACTTTTCCCAGCGCTTCTCGGAGACAGTGCCCCCATCGCCCGCCCAGACCGCGGTCCGTGGGGAGCAAGGGGGGGGAGAGGCCCGCGGCTCCCCCCCCACCGCTGCCCCTCGGGGCGCGGCCGGGCGCGGCGGCAGGGCTAGGGTCGCTGGCGATGGCCGCGGAGCTGGCGATGGGCGCTGAGCTGCCCAGCAGCCCGCTGGCTATCGAATACGTTAACGACTTCGACCTAATGAAGTTCGAGGTGAAGAAGGAGCCGCCCGAGGCCGAGCGCTTCTGCCACCGTCTACCGCCCGGCTCGCTGTCCTCGACGCCGCTCAGCACGCCCTGCTCCTCCGTGCCCTCCTCCCCCAGCTTCTGCGCTCCCAGCCCGGGCACGGGTGGCGGCGCCGCCGGCGGCGCGGCTCAGGCTGGGGGTGCCCCTGGGCCTCCAAGCGGGGGCCCAAGCGCCGTCGGGGGCGCCTCGGGGAAGCCGGCACTGGAGGATCTATACTGGATGAGCGGCTACCAGCACCACCTCAACCCCGAGGCGCTCAACCTGACGCCAGAGGACGCGGTGGAGGCCCTCATTGGCAGCGGCCACCACGCTGGGCACCATGGTGCGCACCACCCGGCAGCCGCCGCGGCCTACGAGGCCTTCCGGGGCCAGGGTTTCGCGGGTGGCAGCGGCGGCGCGGAGGACATGGGCACCGGCCATCACCACGGCGCGCATCACACTGCCCACCACCACCATGCCGCCCACCACCACCACCACCACCACCACCCTGGCGGCGCGGGCCCCGGCGGCGCGGGCCACCACGTGCGTCTAGAGGAGCGCTTTTCCGACGACCAGCTGGTGTCCATGTCGGTGCGGGAGCTGAACCGGCAGCTCCGCGGCTTCAGCAAGGAGGAGGTCATCCGGCTGAAGCAGAAGCGGCGCACGCTCAAGAACCGCGGCTACGCGCAGTCGTGCCGCTTCAAGCGGGTGCAGCAGCGGCACATTCTGGAGAGCGAGAAGTGCCAGCTCCAGAGCCAAGTGGAGCAGCTGAAGCTGGAGGTGGGGCGCCTGGCCAAGGAGCGGGACCTGTACAAGGAGAAATACGAGAAGCTGGCGGGCCGGGGCGGCCCCGGGGGCGCAGGCGGGGCCGGCTTCTCGCGGGAGCCTTCGCCGCCGCAGGCCGGGCCCGGCGGGGCCAAGGGCGCACCCGACTTCTTCTTGTGAGCGTCGGACCCCGAGCCCGCGCCGCTGCCCGGGACAAGCTCGCGCGGCTCGCCGGCGGCCTCGCTCGGACTCCGCAGCGCGGGCCGTGTACTCAGACCCAGTCTTCAGGCCTGGGCTGGGGGCCTTTCCCGCCGCGCGGCCTCTTGCCCCCAGCCCGGGTTCCCGCGCACCTTCCCAGACGCGGACCCGACGTCGTCACGATTCCTCTGCGCGCAGAGAATGGCGACGTCCAAGGAAACTTGAGCCAGGTCTACCTTACTCCAGAGCGTCCACCTGTACATATGTCGAACGTGATCTCTGTCCGGCCTTCGCGCTGCGGTCCCGCGCCTCCGCCTGCCCGCCCGCCCCCTGTGTTTTCTTCCCTTCTGCCTCCTTTTCCTTGTCTTTTTTTTTTTTTTTTTACTTCCCTCGCCCTTCTAAAGCGAGGGAAGTAAAATACTTCTTATTTGCGAAGTATTTATATTTATTTTGCTTGGTAACTAGAAAATCTTCCTTCCCCAGCCGGGTCGCCCTCGGACGGCGAGTCCAGCATGTGTCGCTCGCTCGAAGCGCCCGGCCTTGCCTGCCCTGTGCCCGCTTGCACCCCGCCTTGCTTCTGGCGTTCCCTGGAGACTGAATCCGGAACGCGGTCAGCGCTTGTCCGGCCTGCTGCCCTGCTGTACTCGACGGGGGGAGGGGGGAGGGGCGCGGGCCTGGCCGCCGGGGCTGGCCTGGACCCGCGCTGCGGCTTCTCTATGCACCGAACGTATTTCTGACTCCTGGGTAAATATATCTTATTTTAACTTTCAAAAGAAGAGAAAGAAAAAAGTAATGCACAGTATTTCTAGCAAAAATTTTTTTAAATAGGAGGTTTCAGCCTGAACCTCCTGGCATGGGGCAGGTGGAGAAAATGTTTTTATTTTAATTTAAATTGTATTTCGTTTTTGTGAATTTTTTTTAGAGCGTGATTGATTTTGGACTGTGGCAGAGTGAGGGCAAGGAGGCCAGTGCTCTGGTCCCTCTAAGCTGGGCAGAGCCCTGCCTCTGATGGGGGTCTCCGCGTTTTCCAGGGGACCTCCATGGCTCATACCGGGACTCCAGCTGGTCCTGCTCAGCGCTCAGAGCAGAAGACAGGCCAGCTCAACACCTCGTTGAAAATTTCGTTGCGTCGTTGTTTTTTGTTGTGTTCTTTTTCATTTGCTACGAAAATGAGGAAAGGAAAAAAATACACAATAAAAATAAATCTGTTTAGATCTAAAAGTCATTGGAGCCTGGATAGTTTGTCGGTGGCTTTTGATTTTGCCATGTTTCTCCCTGAATAGCAAGAAAACGGGGTCCCTGTATGGGCTTTGCCCTAGCTCTGGATGGCCGGGCTTGGAAGGCCCAGGGAGAACCTGAGGTGGCTGTCCGCAGGCTCTGTGCCCCACCCACCTTGGAGCTGCCCCTGGGGAAGAGGCCCTGAAGCTGGTAACAAGAGCCGCTGAGCAGGCTGGGCACACAGGGCCTGGGGCACGTTCGGTGGAGACCCAAATGTAGAACTGTTGTATCCTGGTGGCAGGGAACTGACTGCAGCCCTTCCAAGCCCACTGGCCTCCTACTTACAGGTGCACCCTGGTTGCCTCCTCTGAATGGCACGGACTCAGGATGAGGCACAGACTAGGGACAGCACAATGAGTCCCCACCCCTGGAAATGTCCCCTTATGAGGGCCCTGGGTAGCTGGGGGTCTTGTAGTGGATATTTCCCTACCTGGGCTGTGGGAGGGGAATCAGGTGCTCCCTGCGGTTTGCAAATTTGGAGAGTGAGCTGCAGCCAGGGGCAGGAGGGAGTAGAGCTGTGCCGATTTCCTGTCTTGCTAAAGCAGAGATTCTTTCTCAGTGGGGGGGGGGGGGGCTGGGGTCCCTTGAGTGAGTTGGGTGAATTACTGGGCGTTTTTTTGTTTGTTTGTTCGCTTGTTTTTTGAGACAGGGTCTCTGTCAGCCTGGAGATCAGAGACGTGATCATAGCTCACTGCAGCTTCAAATTCCTGGGCTCAAGTGATCCTCTTCCCTTAGCCTCGGAGTAGCCGGGATTCCAGGCACCTGCCACTGCAGCTAGTTTTTCTATTTTTTATAGTTACAGGGTCTCTGCCTTTCTCTGTCTAATCTCTTTTATTATCTTAATCAGAGACCCAGAAAAGAAGTCCTGCCTCCCACTTTGCTTTAGGCTCAGACTTGTAGCAAGGGATTTGTTTTGGGTCTCTGTGGGGTTGAGCAAAATCCTAGGAGTAAAGCCTGGCTATGCACAGTCACTGCAGGGAGAGAAGAAATGTGTGTGTGTGGGGGGGGGGGGGGGTGAAAGTTAAACGGACTAATTTGGAAGATTGTGGTGTAACAGAAGCCACTGGGGAGGGCTGAGCAGTTTCCAGACAACCTTGGAACAGCTCAGACATGAGGGTTGGGGTGTTGGTTCACAGGGGCCCTCTCTCTCCAAAGGGGCCGAGGGCTGTGGGCACATTCCTGGGTTGGGGCTGCCGGCTCCTTGGTGGCGGGTCAAAGATGCAACCAAGAGTGGAGGACAATGACAACACCAAACACCTTAGTGTTCCACCCTGAGGGGCATTTGCACAGAGCCTTCCTCCTGGACACCTTTGGTCAGCCTCTGGGAAGCAGTGGTGGGCAGGGGGTTGCACTTTCACCCTCTCTGACAGGCCATGGGAGGGCTCTGCCAGAAGCTTACTAGTTAGGGGGCTTGGGGGGAGCCGCATCCCCATGATGCCAATATCCTGGCCAGTGTCCTGTCTTGTCCACAGCAATCTCAGAAGCTGGGCCAGAGCTGTGGGCCCCAGGCAGCAGCTTCTGGGTTTAATTCACTCACTCTTATTTCCCTCCCTCCCTCTTCCTCTCGTAGCAGGCTCCTCCACCCAAACCAAGGTGCTGACAAATGGACAAATGGGGAGATCCTGGGGCAGGAGGAGTGGCTGATTCTTCTGTTCAGATCAGATCTTTTCTGAGACCCACTTTGCAGGAAGAAAGACAGGCTGGATAGAAAGCACCAGGGGCCTCCCTTCAGCCAGTGCCCCCTCCAGGTAGGGGGCAGGTGAGGGCTTCAGGCAGCAGTGGGCCGAGGCCAGCTCCAGGATCCCCTGGCTGTGGAATGGAGGCCTCAGCGTTTGCATCCCTGGCCAAGTGTGGCCCTGGGAGGACTGTAGAGCACAGGTGTGTGCAAATCTGTGTGCGTATGCAGGTATGTGAGTACCAGCCCCAAAGTACCCAGGCAGAGCCACCTGGACAGCAGATCTGAGGAAAGCTAGAAGGTGGCTGGACCATCTCCTTGTTCCCTTATGTCCCAAGGGGGTGGTGAGGGCACCTCACTTGGGTGTCCCTACACCTTAGCACCTGAAACAGAACAGGAAAGCTTTGTCACTTCCCCTTGCTGCCCTCTGCCCACACACAGGCAGCCCTCTTCACCTGCCTCCTGGGGAGTCCACAGCAGGGACTAAAATGACTAAACCCTGATGCTGGAGCTCTGAGGGAAACAGACAAGAAAACCAAGGTGGCCAGCGCCAGTAGCACAATGGTTATGGCGCCAGCCGCATACACCGAGACTGGCAGGTTCGAACCCAGCCTGGGCCAGCTAAACAACAATGACAACTACAACAAAAAATAGCCAGGCATTTTGGCGGGAGCCTGGTGTCCCAGCTACTTGGGAGGCTGAGGCAAGAGAATCGCTTAAGCCCAAGAGTTTGAGGTTGCTGTGAGCTGTGACATGACAGCACTCTACCGAGGGTGATATAGTGAAAAAAGAAAAGAAAACCATCGTGAGGGAGTCCTTGGTGGGAGAGCCCTAGGGGAGAGGAGAGTGCCGTGGCATCATACTGCTCACAGCAACCTCCAACTCCTGAACTTAGGCAATTCTCTTGCCTCAACCTCCCTAATAGCTGGGACTACAGACACCCGCCACAAAGCCCAGCTATTTTTTTGTTACAGTTCAGCTGGGGCTGGGTTTGAAACTGCCACCCTCAGTATATGGGGCCAGCACCCTACCCACTGAACCACAGGCATTGCCCTTATGCAGTGCATTTTAAATGTTATTTTAAAGTGTGGGAGAAGCAGATTGAATGACTAAAAAGTGTAGGCCAGTGGGGTCTAGGAATGTGCCTGGGTTTTTCACATGAATTCTTTTTTTTTGAGACAGAGTCTCAAGCTGTTGCCCTGGGTAGAGTGTCATGGCTTCATAGCTCACAGCTATGGCTAACGCCATCCTCTTGCCTCAGTTTTTCTATTTTTAGTAGAGATGGAGTCTTGCTTTTTGCTAAGGCTGGTCTCAAAGCCAGGAGCTCAAGCAGAAGATGCTCCAGGTGTGTGAAATTGAGTTTCTGTTTCTGCCTCGGCCTCCCAGAGTGCTAGGATTACAGGCATGAGCCACCGAGCCCGGCCTCACATGAATTCTTGTAGAAAGAATTCCCTCTGGGTACTAAGCATCTCCCTTCCTGATCATAATTTCAACATGACTTCAAGTGTCTTGTCCAGGGCCCTGGAGTTTCTAAGCTCCTCAAATTTGGCAGAAAGTGTTGAAGTGGGCTGGGCAGAGGCAGAGCAAGGGGTGTAGGGGAGAAGGCAAAGGCAGCTGCTGCTCCTCCCACCAGGAGCCAAGCTCCACTCCCAGCCCCACAAACATGGCCAAGATGTCCCTGACCATGAAGGAGCACCTCAACGAGCCCTGCACAGCGCACCTGGAGAGGCACATCCATGCCACATCATTGCCTCTACACACAGCCTCCTCTTCCAGGAAGCCTTCCCAGACTGACAAAGCACCTTTTGCTTTGTGCCTCACAAGGACCCTGTGTAGGTGAGGGGTAGGGGGAGCTCAATGTCTTTTTATAGGCCAGACAATTGAGCCCAGGGAGGGTAGATTCCCTGCCTCCAGCTGGTGAGGGGCAGAGCTGGCAGTGGAGCTGGGCTGACCCCATCCCCACTGAGATGCCCTGTCTGCCTACTGCCTTTTTTGGTGGTGGGAGGTGACTGGGGTCAAGGAGTTGGGGAACTGCCCACCCAACCCTGCCAAGGCCAGTGACAAGGCCCTGGTGCCCCACATCTCCCACATGACTTACCTCCCAGGCAATGGGCAACCCCCA